CCCTCCCCTCCCCCTTCCCCTTCCCTCCCCCTTCCCTCCCTTCTTCTCTCCTTTCCTCTCCTCTCTCTCTCAATGTGTTCAAAACAGTGTCTACAGAGTCTCACTACGTAGATTGGACTCGTAGTGATTCTCCTGTTTTCAGCCTCCCAAGCTCTGGGATTACAAGCGTGTGCCACCATGCGCAGTCTCAATAGCTGTCTCAGTGCATCCCAGGGGTGGGTCCAGCACAGCACACAGATGATTCAAGGCTGGTCACTGTGCTCTGCCTAAGCAGGTGCTTTAGTCCACTGAACTATCTGGCCGGCCCTTCCAGATGTCTTCTTATCAATATGTTAGCTTATCTTTTAAAATATTTTTAAGATTAATGGTCATATAAAAATGTGCAAAATTCTTAAGTACAAAGTTTGATAGATTTGCACAAAGTGAATGTACCGGGCTGGTGAGATGGCTCAGTGGTCTAAAGCACCTACTTAGAACAAGCTTAGCAAAGCACAGGGACCGCAGTTCAATCCCCCAGCACCACATGCCAGCCAGCCCCGCCCCCCCTGGTGGGCTGAGCTGGCCACACACACACATAAATAAATAAAATAAAAACAAAGTGCATGTACCACCAAGATCAGGAAACAACATTATCACCATCACAAAAGGCATGGTCACGTCCCTCCATTCTCTGAAAAGATAACTGGTATGTGGTTAACTTGTGAGGCCATAAATTGTTTGAAAAACCTTACAGAAAACAAGCCACATGTGGCTTCACACGCCTGCATCCTAGCATTCTGGGAGGTTGAGGCAACAGAAGCACAAGTTCAAGCTCAGCTTGTGTAACAGTGACTTAGCAGGACTCTATCTTAAAATAAAAAGTAAAAAGAGCTAGGGATATAGCTAAGGTTCAGTCTCAGTACCACACACGCACACACACACACACACACACACACACACACACACAATTTTATATAAAATGAATCACTGAATGTGTATTCTTTTGTATCTGGCTTCTTTTGCATAATATTATGTTTCAATATTTATATTCATTTTAGCTATTTACATCATATCATTCTATTCCACTGCACGAGTATAATATAGCTGTTCTTTTTAATTAAAAAAATCATTTATTTATTTATTTATTTATTTATTTGGCACAAGGTCTCACTACACAGTTTGGACTTCTAGTGATCCTCCTGTCTCTGCCTCCTCAGCGCTGGGATTGCAGGGGCGTGCCACCACGCTTGGTTTCGGTAGCTAGGTCAGTGGCCCGGGGCTGGGCCAGCATTAGGTACTGGGGATGGAATCTGGTCCTTGCGCTTGCCAGGCAGGTGCTTGGACAGCTGAGCTATCTCCCTGGTCCTATTTAGCTTTTTTTTTTTTTTTAATTGTTTGATCAGGGTCTCTCCACACAGGCTGAACTCATAGTGATCCTCTTGTCTCAGGCTCCCCAGCGCTGGGATTACAGGTATGTACCACCACTCCCGGTTTTGTTGTTCAGCACTGCACACCTGTGGTTCTGGGACCAGCACAGCATGCAGTACCCAGATTGAACCTGGGTCACTGTGCTTACCAGGTAGGAGCTTAGACCATTGAGCTTTTCCCCCAGCCTGCTAATTCTATTCTTAAGGACCAATGAATTGTTCTCAATTTAGAGTAATCACAAATATTATAATTATGAATATTCTTGTACCTACTTGATACATATCTACAGGAATTAATGTTAGGTATAGAGGTTTGATCAAAAGATGCAGTGACTATTTAAATTTAAAAATTATTGCACTAAAAGACACATTGTCATTATTCTTCAAAATATTTCTCCTCACATGTACCATGCTTATCCCATTCTCCTTGACACTTTCTGCTGCAGTTCTAAAAGCCCTCCTTTGTGTCGATAGGTGCACGATCATGGCTGTCTTCATGTTCTGAATTGATTAAAAATGCTTATTTCTCATGGTCATTTTGATTTTGGGGAGGAGCCAGAAAATGCACAGCCAGATCTGGTCAGTAAGGTGGATGAAGAAATGCCACAACGTTTTTTACAAGCCTGCTTTGCCATCACAAATGGCACTGGACAGCAGCGCTTTCTATATATTTTTAAAATCTCATAAAAATCCTCATGAAATAGGACCTCCATGCTGTTATGTTGAGCTGTAGGGGACTCAGGTCAACAATTTCTGACATTGCCAGTCAAGCGGAAGACCCAATACTATTATGGACTACTGGACTCTTTTAGAATATTTTGCTGAGTTTACGCACCTATAATATGCAAATAACGGAACTTAACAATAAAAGGGGATACAGATGAATGTCCATTTTGTATCTGTGTATTTAAAGTGGTTAGGATAGATATATAGTTACATTCTCTTAATGAATACAGGGATTTGTTCTAATAATGTTTGTAAATAGGATAGCATGTCCGCATCTTGTACAGCAATTAACCACTAGTAAGAATGTATGCAATGTGTTAATTATTGAAACTGTCCTACCAGTTTGATTTGAAACTGTCTCATTGCTATTTGTTTCTCAATAAAATTATGGAAAAAAAAAAGAAATAGGACCTTCACAACTGCTTCCAAAAGTGGCGAGGATGACGGCTGAGAGTGTTTGAAGTGAGGAGGAATGTTCTGACACGGACAGGTGGCTATATATCTTTACTGTAATGTATTTTTTTTTAATTTAGACATTCACTGTGATTCTGTTGCTTTGCACATGTGTTACCATTACATGTCCCACACCGTGGCTGCTCTGTGCCTTCTCACTGTCTGGCCTTGGATTCAGAAGTCACTAATATGAGTAGCCAAAAAATCTCATTCTTTTAATTTATGGTTAGTTTTTTTTTTTTTTCTTTCCTTTTTTGGTCTTATTCAAGAAATCTTTTCCCATTCCTAGTTCATAGAAATATTCTTCTGTTCTCTTGCTAGAATGTTTTAATCAATTAGTTAATTAATTAATTTATTTATTGTATTCGGTATAGGGGCTACAGGGTCAACAGGGTCTCACTATGTAGATCAGACTTGTAGTGATTCTCCTGTTTTCAGCCCCCCAGGA